ACGGGCTTAGAGGTAACCTCAAAACCTATGAGTCTACCATTCTTTACCCCTCTTTAGGTGAACAAAAGAAGAATGGGATTGCACTCAAGGCGTCCACAAGTCAAGAACGTGATGTGGAGGACTCGAGTGACAAAGACGAGTTCGGGATCGTGCTCAAGAAATTCCATAAGTTCATGAGCCAAGAGTATGAACGGAAAGGAAAGAAGCAAGGAAGTCCACCCAAATGCTATGGGTGTGGAGAAGTTGGGCATATAAAACCAAAATGTCCAAACGCCAAGAACAAGAATAAAATGTCCAAGAAGCACTGAGCCTACATCTCATGGGGAGGTGATTCCGGCGACGAATCATCGGAAGGCGAAGAAAACGAAAGTGCCAATCTTTGCCTCATGGCACACGAGGAACCACCGGAAGAGGTATGTACCACTTCTAACGATTCCTACACCTTTGATGATGTTCAAGAAGCCTTCAATGAACTTTATGATGAATATGTCAATGCTTCTAAAATTAACAAGGATTTGAAGAAACAACTTACTTCCATGGAGAAGGAAGTTGATAAACTATCAAAAGATAATTAAAAACTTAAAGAAAAAAATAAGTTTTTCGGGAAAAGAAGCACCGACAAACCGGAGAGTTCAAAATGTAGTTTTTGTATATCACTTAAGGATCAAGTTGCAAAACTTGAAGGAACTTTGAAGAAGTTTGGTGTTTCTCATAAAAACCTTAATGATGTTCTTGACAATTTGTAACTTACTAAACATGGCTTAGGTTTTGAAAATGAACCTAACAATAAGGAAAAAGTTGAGCAACCATCTAGGAAACCTAAAGCTCAACTTAGGAATAATGAAAATCAAGAAAATAGACAACCTAGAACAATTAGGAACACCAGACCACCTAGAAAGAACACTAGGATGAACAATGATCAAGTTAGAAAACCTAGCAACTATTATCAACCTAGGAGAATGCATAATCCAAATGTTATTTGTCATTATTGCAATAGGGTAGGTCATATAGCACCCGTGTGTTCTAGTAGGAATCAACACAGGAATCAATGCAAAAGAAACTAACCGAATAGGGTAGGTCATATAGCACACATATAACAAAACACACACTTTGCATGGAACTAACCGAATGAAATCCTTTGAAAAAGGATATTCGAACTCTAACCAATCCCTGCAGGAATCAACGCAAAAGAAACCATATTACTTCTTCTATTATGATGAAAAGAAGAAGATTCACATATCACTTCCGGAACCCACACAAATCAAACCGAGGTATAGACATTCGGTTCGAGTAGACTGGAACCCGCCAACCGCAAAACGACAAGTTGGCCAAGGTAACACTTAAACACGCGTGTTGGTACATGTGTGTGTGTGTGTGTGTTTGCGTGATTATGGGTGCGTGTGTTTATCAGTTTAAAAAGTCGTGTTACTAATCCTCAAGGACCCAAAAGACCAAACGGGTACCAAAATGTTTTCATTGTAGGCGTTGAAGTCAGGGGGAATGTGAACAATCGATTTACAGGCTTGTGATAATCGACTATCACAACCCACAGGAGTTGGAGCAAAGAAACTGAAGGAGCCAACAATCGATTATCAGCATTAAGATAATCGATTATCAGGGGCTGCAGAACCTTCTCAAAAGTCAAGCGCAAACCAGCAACAATCGATTATCAACTATAAGATAATCGATTATTTAAGCCTGTAGAAGTTAAAGGCAACTCAGGCGCAAACTACAACAATCGATTTACAACCAGGCAGAAATCGATTATTGAAGCCTGCAGTTTCTTTGGCGGAGAATCTGAAGACTGAGATAATCGATTTACAGGGAGTGTAAATCGATTATCAACGGCGATTTTTCAAAAATCTGACCGTTGCAGAGACGTTGGAGGAGCATTTAAACCTTGTTTGACCATCCTAACGGATCTCTACACCTCCTCGACTATATATTGGTGATATCAACTCCATTTTTACTCATTCCAATCATCTCCTCTCCATATATTCTTCATAATTCATCATTCTTGCTCCTATTCTTCATTTTTTTTAAAAATTTTCTGCAATCTCTCTCTCCTCTCTTGTTGCAATGGCAGGCGGTCAAAGAAAGCGTTCTCGCACTGGCAAGAACGTGGCCTCCTCCTCAGCCCCTCCACCACCGGCGCACAAGTACCTCGACGGGTCGTTCCTTTGGTTCAACGACCACGCAGAGGCGACGCGGTTCTCGGAGAAATTTGAGCACCGGGAGATTCTACCTCCCCGATTCTCCACCGCCCGCTTCATTCATGACTCCATTCCACGTGAGGCACGGGTTATCCTCGAACGTGGAAACTTCCTCGATCTCCTCTACATCAAGAAGGTCAATTATCACCCCTCTCTTGCTCGAGCTTTCTACTCGAACTTGAAAAAGGATGAGGACGGAGCGTTGATCTCTAACGTCAACGGGGTGGACATCTATTTGAATGAGGAGAACATTCAAATCCTCACCGGGCTTCGTCGGGATGGACAGGATCTCGGGCTCTACGTTGGAGAAGAAGGAGCACGGTTCAACGAGACCGCTCTCTTGGAGGAAGTGGGCATCCGACACTTCGTCCCCACTCCCCAACAGCGGCGCCCTACGATTGCTTCCATGAG